GCTTCCAGATCTTAGCTTTTGTAAACAATGTGGAATATCTCTCCTAATGAATGTTTTTCATGTTGTTTGGATAGATTCCCCAGGAGTAGAGATGCTAGCTCATCTGGTTGACTGTGTTTAATATTTTTGAGAGAAGTCTCCATACTCTTTTCCATAGAAACTAGACCAATTTGCATGCTACCCCGGGCCTCCGAGGGTTTTCCTTGTTTACAGCTGCATTTCATTCTCGTAGGTCTCCATGAGGTGGGTGCTGGGGGGATGACCCCATTTTCCTGGTGAGAGAAAGGACTGTGCTTATTAAGTCATGGGGCAGAGTCACAGAGAGAGGGCACAGACTGGATTGGAATCTTGTCAATCCAGCTTCCGAGCTGTTTAACCAGAAAAAAAAAAATTTAAAGCTCCCATTTTGACTATTATTTTCACTTTTCTTTTTTGAATTTTTATTTACTTTCCTTTTTGGTATTTGACCATGCTTGGTGGTACTCAGGTGACCTGGAGAAGGGACTGGGTGAGTGGTTCTTATCCCCCTTGGGTGGCCAAGTTTTATCTCCCTGTACTATCTCTGGCCCAGTCACTTTCATATTTAATCATTACCTTTGGGTGAGCAAACAGATACTGTCATCGTAAATCTGTTCATCATCATCTTCATCCCCAACTCACACCCACTGAGTGTAAAATCAGTGGAAGTTTTGTTTTGTTTTGCTGGAAGGCCTCTCGAGGGGGGCTCAGGAGGCCCCAGGACCCCCTCTCCTAAATCCTCAAGCTCTCTGGCCAGTGGTTCAGAGCAAGGGTCTGAGGATTCGGTGTTGGTCAGACTTTACTGTGCTCAGGTGATGCTCAGGGAACCAGACATGATACTGGGGATCAAACTAGGGTCTGCCGTATGCAGGACAAGTTCCTTATCCTCTGTACTGTCTCTCTGGCTCCAAATCAGTGGAATCTGTAAAGGCATGGACTTGGGTTCTGTTAAGACTGAAGAAAAAGGCACAGGAAAAAAAAGAAAGGAGGAAAATAGATCTAGAGGCAGTGGGAGGTATGTTCCTTAACTCGCTTATGGTGACTGTTTCACTGTACACATATATAAAAACATAAACTTTAGTGTTTGCCATATATTTAATATAGACATTATGTATACGTATATTTAATCATATATGTATTTATATGTGAACACATAAATACATATATAATTACATGTAATTTATGTGCCAATTATGACAAATACCATGGAATACACTAGCATGGATAGGCAGTATTCTTTTTTTTTAAAAATGAATCACCGTGAGGTACAGTTACAGACTTATAAACTTTCATGCTTAAGTTTCAGTCATACAATGATCAAGTACCCATCCCACCACCAGTGCCATTTCTCCACCACCACTAATCCCAGTATCCCTCCCGCCACCCCCACCCCATCCCTTCCCCCCCTCCCTGCCTCTTCCCTTTTACTCTCTCTTTCTGTGGATGTTATGGTTTGCAATACAGGTATTAAGTGGCCATCATGTTTGGTCCATAGTCTACTTTCAGCACGCATCTCCCATCCCAAGCGGGCACTCCAGGCACCCTTTACTTCGTGGTCCCTTCTCTATCTCAGCTGCCTTTTCCCCCAACATGTAAGGCCAGCTTCCAAGCCATGGAACCATCTTCCTGGTTCTTATCTCTACCATCCTTGGGCAGTATTCTTGAGCACATAAGAGCTCCATCATATTTTACTGTGCACTGGATGGTAAGAAAAGTTAGCCAGCTTCATGCCTACCTTGGGGGGCTGTTTCACCAAACTCAAATCCTTTCAGTTGCAGCTTCTCCACAAAAAGGGAAGAAACTGAGGCTGGGAGACACTCACCCGCTAGCTCAAGGTGTGCCTCTGGGACCCTATCTCAATTCTTCCAATCGCTGGATTTCATTTCTCAGCCCACCTTTACGAGGGGTTTCTTTGGGGTTTCTCTGGGCAGTTGCACTGTTTCTCATATCGAGGGGAGTCCCTCAGCCTGGGCACGGATTTGCCCCTGAGCTTTGGGCTGTCATCCAGGCCACTTCCTCTCCCTGCAACCTCAAGGTTTTCCTGGAAACTTGGGTCCCTGGGCATCTCGACAAGGAACGGCTTCACGGAGTTTTTCCAGTCACAATGATGGGTTCTCTGAACTTGCCAGTGCTCTCTGAGCTTAATCCCGGAGGTTTGCTTCAGCTCAGATGTCTCTGTAGTGGACCCGGGCTTGCTTAGTACGAGGTCTCTAACTACTTCCAGTAAGCAAAGGCAGGAGGGAAGCTCTGCTTCTCAGTATTGCCATGGGTATCGCATCCTCACCTGGACCAGGGGAGCTGCGAGGGGTGCCCAAGGCAGCAGGCGTCTTTTTCTCCACTGCAGGCCCTGCTCTAGGGGAGGTGAGTGCTGGCTTCCTTCTTGGGTAACAGGTGTGGGCTGCTCTGTGAGGAGACCCAGCCTGGCATCCTCTCCGTGTCTCTGTGCGTCTAAAGCACGTGAGCTGTGCTCCCAATGCATTGTGACCTATGTTCCCATCCTCTAAGATGAAGTTGCTATTGTCTCCAAGATTCGAACTTGTCTGGGGAGAAACCTTTTGGGGGAGGCTCGCACATGCATCTTTTTTTGGAGGCCAGCGAGATAGTTCAGATGTCAAGACTCTGGCCTTGCACACAACTGATCCCTGGATCGATCCCTGACACTGCGTATGGAACTGAGAGCATCTCCAGGACTGTGTTTCGTGGAAGGCCCCATGTCCCATACAAGCCTCTCTCTGTCCCATACAGGACCCCATCTCTGACGTCATTGAAATCTGCTTATAAGTGGATGGACATGGAGAGTATCAGGCTAAGTGAAATGAGTCAGAAAGAGAGGGACAGACATAGAAGGACTGCACTCATTTGTGGAATATAAAATATAATAATTTGAGACTAACATCCAAGGACAGTAGAGACAAGGGCCAGGAAGATTGCTCCATAGTTGGAAGCCTACCTCATGAGCTGGGGGAGAAGGCAGCTGGGATAGAGAAAGGACCACTAAGTCAATGATGGTTGGAAGGATCATTCGGGATGGGACATGTGTGCTGAAAGTAGATAAAGGACCAAACATGATGTATCTGTATTGCAAACCATAATGCCCATAAGTAGAGAGAGAGAGTATGAGGGAAATTGTCTGCCCCAGAGGCAGGGGGAGGGGTAGGATGGGGGCGGGGGATACTGGGGACATTGGTATTGGGAAATGTGCACTGGTGGAGAAATGGGTGTTCCACCACTGTACGACTGAAACTCAAACATGAAAGCTTTGTAACTGTAGCTCACAGTGATTCAATAATAATAAAATAAGACTCCATCTCTGATACAAGGTTCCGTGTTCTACTTAAGGCTCCATGTTCCATACAAAACTCTGTGCCCCCTATAAAGCTCCATGTCCCACACAAGACTCCGTGTCCCAGATAAGATGTGTCCATGTAAGGGTCTGTGTCCCATACAAGACCCTGTCCCATATAAGGCTCCTTGTTCGATACAAAGCTCTATGTCCCATATAAGGCTCTGTGCCTTCTAAGACCCTGTGTCCCATACAAGGCTCTGTGTTCCATGGTTTATCCCATTATAGGCTAACGTAAGCGTCTGAGGTCATTTAATCTAGGCCAGGCCAGGCTATGGTGTTTAGTCGGTTGTGTGTATATGCTTTTCGGATCACACTCAGGGATGCACAGGGGTTACTCTTGGCTTTGCACTCAGAAATTACTCGTGGCAGTGCTCAGGGGACCATATGTGATGCTGGGAATCAAACCCAGGTCAGCTGTGTGCAAGGCAAATGCCCTACCTGCTGTGCTATTTCTCCAGCCCCTCGGCGATGTATATTAAATACATTTTTGGCATATAATATTTTTGGCATATTTTTCTTATGATGGGGTTAGTGAGATGTTACCCCTAATTGGAATTTTAAAAATTCTTATTGCTTTATACCTGAAAGTAAACTAAGATACTGATTATTGCCCTATTTGTTTACCATTCCTGTAATATTAGCCTGTTTACTATTGTTGTATCCTGTGTATGTTTACTATTGGTATATTTTTATCCATGTTTACGACTGCTCTATTATTTGCCTAGGCTTACTATTGCATATTATTATCCCAATGGTGTTTACTATTGCTCATTTATCATCCTCTTGATATCAATTATTGCCTTGCATCATCAATTTCCCGGATCGTTCTTCATAAGTCCAGTAGCCTCATGAGAAGTTTTTTTTTTCTTTTTGGGTCACACCCGGCAATGCACTGGGGTTATTCCTGGCTCTGGACTCAGGAATCACCCCTGGCAGTGCTCAGGGGACCCTATGGGATGCTGGGAATTAAACCCAGGTTGGTCGCATCAAGGCTACCACCCTACCCACTGTGTTATCCCTCCAGCCTCCTGCCACTCCCCCCGCTTCATTTTATGGAATGAAGACCCAGCAGAGCTGAGGGCTGAGGGACCGACTTCAGGTCTGCCCCAGTTCATGCTGTCAGTGGGGTCCAGAGCAGTGGCCCTTGTGTCATACTGGTTTGCACTTAGTTTGCGTCTCAGCCATGGCTGGTGCATGGAGGGGGGATGGGAAGGACACTGAGCAGCTACTGACAGGAACACTAAGCTCTCCTCAGACTTGGGAGCCCCACGGGTGGCCTTCTTGGATGTCTCAGAGAATTTTCCGGAAACAGGGTTTGGCACTGCGCTGGGTCACAAAGTTGATATGTCTTGGGAGAAATAAAGGCTGGGCCACGTGGTCACATGTGTTCTCCTTCAGAGCTTTGGGCATACAACAGGTATAGAGGCTGAGCCCAGTGACCACTGCTGCGTCATGGTGGTCCTGGGTCATGGCTTGAGGTGGGCCAAGGTGACCCCTTCTGTCCTTTCAGCGGTGACCTGCTGACAGGACGGATGGACTGTCACCGTGGCTGCTGCCACTGGCCGCGCGTGACTGATGGGGCGGGTGTTGGCCACCGTGCTGGCCAGGCCTCAGCTCTGCCTCTCTCTCCCCACAGGAGAAACCCTCTGCACTTCCACCTCATCGCCGACTCCATCGCGGAGCAGATCCTGGCCACGCTCTTCCAGACTTGGATGGTGCCCGCCGTGCGCGTGGACTTCTACAACGCGGATGAGCTCAAGGTAGGGGCAGGCAGAGCCGCCTCCGGGCCGCCCTCGGGGCGGAGGTGACATTCTGATTTGTGTTCTTGGTCTCCACCATGGTAACCAGTCACCGTCTTTGTCCCCCTGCGCTAGAAGTGGCTACATTGGCAGCGAAGAGCTTTGCTGCCCCAAGTCAGGATTTATGGGGCCAGAGGAACAGGACAAGACACTGACCCCCAATCTCTTGTTCCACATGTGGTCCCCCAAATACAGCCAACGTTCACTCCTGAGCACAGAGCCAGGAGTAGCCCCTGAGCACCACCAAGTATGATCTGACCCCCACCCAGTACACACACACACACACACACACACACACACACACACACACACACACTTCCCTAAGAAAAAAACTTACCTTTGGGGCCAGAGCAATAGTACAGCAGGTAGGGCATTTGCCCTGCACGCGGCCGACCCAGGTTCAATCTCCAGCATGCCATAGGGTATCCCGAACACCACCAGGAGTAACTCTTGAGTGCAGAGCTAGGAGTAACCCCTGAGCATCGCTGGGTGTAACCCAAAAAGCCAAAAAAAAAAAGAAAGAAAGAAAGAAAAAACTTACCAAATCATGATTTTATGATCCAAAACATTAAAAGGATCCTTCCTGGAGCAGAGAATGGACTTTGAGGCATACCTGGTCAGCCTCTGGAAGGTCGACACCTCTAGAGAGTGCATTTACCTTGTGTGACTGAACTCAGAGTCCAGAGACCCGAGTTTGAATGTCTGTAATGTTACTTCCTGCTCAGAGGATTCCCCCTCCCCCCTCCCCAAATCTCATCTCTTTACTGGATCTGGTCTTTTTTGGCTTATTCCTGGCTCTGCCCTCAGGAATTACTCCCCATGGTGCTCAGGGACCCTATGGGATGGCGGGGATCGAACCAGGTCAGCCATATGCAAGACAGAGGTCACCCTACCTTTCCATTTCTCGCTGCTTTGCTGACTCCTGGCTTTTCTGTGCTGGTTGTGAACCTAAGGACCGGTTCTATTGGCCAGTGCTGCGTCTGGCCTTTGTTTCTCTTAGGCAAGGAAAAGAGATCAGAGAACATTAGTGAGTAAGTGAAGGGGACTTGAAAGCATACCTTCCTGGGGCTGGAGCAATCGTACAGTGGGGAGAGTAATTTGCCTTGTATGTTGATGGTTTGGGTTCGATCCCCAGCATCCCATGCAGTCCGAGACTACCACTGGGAGTGATTTCTGAGTGCAGAGCCAGGAGTAAGCTCTAAGCATTGCGAGGTGTGGTCCAGTGACCACCCCCCCCCACACACCACACACACACACACATACACAAAGGCATACCTTCTCATTTCTGGAAGTATGTTCTGTGGCTTCTACATATTAAAAGTAGAACATTTGTGAGTGGCTCATAGAAATTGTACTTTCCATCAGGTGTGTCTTTTAAGCTTTTTTTTTTAACCCCGATCGATGATTCTGTATGGAATAGTGTCTTAAGAAGCGGGTCAGTCCCTTTTTGAGATGCATAGAATCTAAATTAGGATGGAGCTTGGCATTCGTCTCACATAACCTTTCACTTTCTTCTATAATATTCTGCATTAATGCTCATTAATCCTGTGCATTTGAATACTTGAGGAGATAAGAGATCATTACCTCCCCAAGGACCTCGTTCCATATTTAGAAACTCCATTAGAAATGGTCGCCTTGTCCTGGGCTAAAGTCTTCACCTTTTTTTGATTCCCTCCCCCTCCCAACCCCCGTTGATTCTGAGCATTCATAAAGACTCAGTGTTAATGCATCTATCGTTGTCTCAGTCTATCCTCTTTCCCTCCTCGCTATGGGAGGACCGGAAGGCAATGCCTGTGACTTTTGTTCCTCGTGGGACAAAATCTGGTCAATAGTGGTCCTCAGCAGATAGATGGATTCCGTTCTTGTGCTGTAGAGTGAGTCAGAACTTGCATCTGACTCAGCTCCCCCATTCCATCCACCGTCTCCTGAACAGAAGAGCTCAGAACCCACTTGACCACGTAAATGTTTCGACTTCCGGCATGCTTGTGTCATACAGGGTTTCCGAGTTGTGGTCTTTGAAGAATGCATGTGTTTTGTCTCTGCCTTTGATAGCAAATACCATTCTGCTTGGTGCTCCAGAGACAGGGCTGGGATTCCATACGCAAATGCATAACAGAACTGGCCGGGTGCTGCCATTGACACTCTGAGCTTGATCCGACTTAAACTCACTTAAAGCAATTGGGTGTCACCTCACCTGCTTTCCCTCACCCCACCCCACCTCCTCCGCCTGCCACTTTGGACCTTGATTCCTTCCTTATGGGATGCTCTGCTTCAACTGTGCCCTCACCTTGATGACATGAAAGACTTTCACGTCCCGGACCTCCACGGTAGAGGATGATTCTGCATTTGCTGTCCTTAATGGGTAGCTAACCAGAGGCATTGCAGAGCGCTGCTAGTCAGAGGAAGAAGGATACTCGCATCTAATTCCTCATGCCTCAACTCTTAGGCCACAATTCTTAGTGAGCCAGAACCTGAGTGACAAAAAAACAAAAAACAATCTCAAGAGTCAGATGGATAGTACAGGGGTTAAGGTACTTAACTTTGCATGTGGCCATATCCAATTTGATCCCTGTGCAGTCCAGGGGAATGTGGGGAGGTCATTCCCAAGCACAAAGTCAAGAGTAGCCCCTGAGCATTGTTAAGTATGACCCAAACCCACTTTCCTTGCTCACCTGCCCTGCACCAACCTCCTCCCTTCCTCACCCCCCAAAAAAAAACTTCAAGAAAAGTGAATTGAGTGATTCAAGAAAGTGGTTGTAATATGGACTTTGCAATTTAATCTCAAGCATGGGAAGGGCTGTGGAGAAGAATATATCAGACGTATCTAATGGAGAGTTATTGCAGAATGGACAGAGGGAACTAGATTCTGTCCTAAGACTCAGAAAATTGTGTGAGGAGAACAGAACTGATTATCCAACGGCTTTGAAAGGATTAAGGGCTGGCCAGGGAAATGCTGGAGAAGCATTTCTCAACCAGGGGCCATATGGAACCCTGATGGCACCCCAGGATATTCTATAGCGTGAGACTACAGGTTCCGGTCGGTAGGATAGGAGACCCTAGGGAGGAAATAAGATTAGAGGAGCACCATGATTGGAGGAACGGTTGTGAAACAATGTGTTGGAGTTTCAGGGTTTCAGTAGGCGTACATTATTTGGCCTGTATCCACGGATGGTATGGCAGAACCTGGCAAGCTACCCATGGCATATTTGATATGCCAAAAATAGTAACAATAACGTGCCTCATTCCCCTGATTCTGAAAGAGCCTCCAATACGGCAGCATTGGGAAAGACGAGTAAGGAGAGGCTGCTAAAATCTCAGGGCTGGGACAAATGGAGATGTTACTGGAGCCTGCTTGAGTTAATCGATGAACAACGGATTTACAGTGATACAGTGATTCACGGATGGATGACTGAGATTATGTGGTGAGTAGTAAACAATTGTCCAGGGCTGAAAAGAATCTTCTGCATGCTGATCAAAGGGTCTCCACTAAGATCAGCCATAGGTGGCCTACACAAGGGTACATTGTCAGAAAACATTTGAATGGAAAAGATTCAGAAAATCTTTCCAAGGAAAGTAATATGAAATACGAGCACTCATTACTGAGCATTGCTTATTTACCAGTATAAGAACTGTACATGGAAATTTTTTTCCCTCACAGTTAGCCTTGCGGTGACTATCACAGTTTTCAGCCATTTCCAGGGGAGGAAATGGAAGCTTCTGGAAGGGACTAGTGGAAATGATGCCACATCATGGAGCCCAAACATGTGCCCGGTAGCCCACGCTCTTGACTCGTGGGCAGTGTTCTCCAAAGAAAGAGAGTGACGCATCAGTCAGGTGTCGTTTGGTATTTTCTTGCAGCCTCATTTGCAGGATGCAAATGCAAGAGCAAAGTGAAACAGAGGAAATGAATTTTTAATAATACATTATTAAATCTGTATATCCAATTATGATCATTTAAATATGTGAAACACCCCCGCCCAATGATTAGTCATTTGATAGGCATTTCTGATTTTCATACTAAGTCTTGGAAAGCTGCTGTGGATCTTGTTCACTTTGAGACGCACATACTGCGCTCGAAGGCCTCATTTGCCCTTGGTGGTTACCAGATATCATCAAACAGTCACCTCTGACTCTGCATTGAAATCCCAGATGAGGGAGGAAAGCATTCTTTAGAAGGATGAAAAATGCTCTCACAGAAGTAGCATTTTCTAGTTTTCTTTGGACCTTTACCTCCTTAGTTAAAGTGATTCCGAGGTACTTGATTTCCGAGGCATGATTGTGAATGGGATTGTTGTTTTATAGTCTTCGACTTGACTATACAAGCCTGTTGTTTCTAGGAGCTTCTTGGTCAATGGTTCGAACTAGAGAAGAGACCAGTATGACAGTAATAGCTGGGAATGATCACGTTGGACAAGATCTGAGGGTTCAAAGTAGGTAAAGGGATATTCTTGATAACCTTTCAGTATCAATATTGCAAGCCATAATGCCTGAAAGGAGAGAGAAAGAGAGAGAGAAGAAAATAGAGTCAGGCAGGGGGTAAGGGGTTAGGGGGTGAGGGGAGGCAACCTGGGGACACTGGTGCTGGGAAATATACACTGGTAGAGGGATGGGTGTTGGAATACCTCTATGTCAGTCAATGTCAGTCTATGTCAGTCAATCTATGGCTGAAATCCAATCATGAAGAACTTTGTCAGGGTCTGTCTCACAGCAGTTCAATACAAAAGCTTTTAAAAAATGCTCTCACAACTCTTTCACTGTCGTTGTAAATGCCCTACTACAACGTCTGCAGAGTTTCGAGAAAAACAAAACCAAACCAACACACCAACCCAGAGTTCTCTCCTATCTCACAGCAATGGAACAAAAGGTGCAGTGTGAGAGGCTCAGAAAAATATCTACCAGTGTATACTTTTTTTTTTTGGCTTTTTGGGTCACACCCGGCCGTGCACAGGGGTTACTCCTGG